GGGAGTTGGACAAGCTGTGGCTTCTCCCAGGGCTGCCAGCTCAAGCCACAACTCACCCAGCTGCTCCCCCAGCCAGCACTGCCTATTGCCTGCCTGTACAGTCTATGGCCGAAACTCTGAATTTCTCAAAAACTCTTAATCAATTTGAAGGCTTCAGATTTGACTCAGAGAAATTAACGTGTCTCCCAATTTGATTCAGAGATTCAGCCACCGATTTGGGCTGAATCTCCTCTAAATTGAATCAGCTACCGAAGTTTTGCACAGCCCTACTGGATGCCAATTTTGTAGAGATGGGCAGGGGACGGGAGGGGGAGGGGTGAAGCAAAAATTAACAGCTGTAACAGCAACTACTTCAGCAGCATGGTGGCAGCCAAAAGTTGCTGCTGCCTCTGCATGTCACAGCTTCATCAGTCACCCAGCTGCTTTGTTACACCTCTGTGGTAAAGTCAAAGCTGTCCATAAATTGCTGCCTTCTTTTTGCTATACCCAATATATTGTGTTGAAGTACATGCTACTTGCAAGTTGATGAGTCCTATATCATTATTTCTGGCATTGTAAAACTGCCTGTCATGTTAGTGCTAGTAATCAGCATGGTCACACAGACATACTACCAGCAATTTTAAAGGAGGTATGGCAGTCTGGATATCCTGAAGAAACAATTGCTTCCCCTCCGCCCCCCAATATAAAATTACACCTGCAGATGGTAACTATTTTCCATACATTATTAAAATATTCCTTAGTGATTCTCAACCAGGGTGCTACAACACCTTAGGGTGCTCTACAATCCTTTTAAGTGTGCCATGCAATGTTAGCACACCGAGGCATGTAAACATGATTCACAAGATGAACCCAGAGATTTTAAATAGGAAACCACAGCGTTAAAAATGTTTTGACCTTCTGTGGTCTAGGCAGTTTGCAACAGAAGAACTGCAAACAACTCAGTTTTTCCTTTTGTTAAAAAACCAAGTTAAAACGAAAACCTTTTGTTTTCCAAGGGGTGCCTGGAGCGTAGGAAAGTTGAAAACTACTGCCTTAACCACTAAAATGTATTACAAATTCCATGTTATATTTCAAATACAATACACCATCAAGCATTGCATTAACGTTCACATTGAAACACCAATAAACTATTACCAAAGTAAGGTTTGAAAGCTTCGCTGCCTCAAACCTCACTGCAGTGGCACTGTTTACTAGTTAGATGCCACAGTAGTCAGTTAGATAAAAGCCAGTTGGCTTCATTTATCCACCCTAACAACAGGGTCTCCTAGACATTAGGAAAGTCA